AGAGATTGAACTCAGGGGCACTCGACCACTGAGCCACATCCTCTGCCCCATTTTGTATTTTATTTAGAGACAGGGTCTCACTGAGTTGCTTAGTGCCTCAATTTTGCTGAGGCTGGCTTTGAACTCGCAATCCTCCTGCCTCCGCCTCCAAACCGCTGGGATTATAAGCATGTGCCATCGTGCCCGGCTCACCTCTAAATTTTCTTGCATTGTCTCACTCATGAGCTTTTGGGGGATATCTCATATTTAAACCATAACAATTACCAAGGAGAAAAACTATTGCTCCATTTAACATGAGTTAGGAACCTGATCCTGGCCTAATCAAGTGATCAGGGAGTCAGGATCATATTGTAGAAATATGATCCCACTATAACCTTGTGGTTTCGGTGTGGGAGAGTTGATTCCTTGAAAAAAAAAAAAGGTTTTGGAAAGATTAAACAATGGGTGTCTTTTTGGCATGAGCATCAATCCCCACTCCCCAGTCCCAGCTCTGGTTCTTTGAATTTAGCTCTGGCATCTCTTTGGATTGACTCCTGGATCCCTGGAGTCTCCACTGGGTTTCTGCAGAGCCCTGGCCAGAGTCCCCCAGTAGCTGGCTCCCAATTCTTTATTAATTTCCCTGACACTTTTCACCAACAATGTCAATGTTAAGAGATAGCATGTGTGCTTAGACTTTACAATCTGGCCTCCTCAACAATCAGGAGATCCTGTTAGGTTTTTCTGGCTGCAGAAGGTGACAGAAGAGGGCTGGGGATGTGGCTCAAGCGGTAGCCTGCTCGCCTGGTATGCGTTCGGCCCGGGTTTGATCCTCAGCACCACATACAAACAAAGATGTTGTGTCCGCCGAGAACTAAAAAAAATAAATATTAAAAATTCTCTCTCACTCTCTCTTAAAAAAAAAAAAAAAGAAGGTGATAGAAGAGTCAGAGGAGCTGCTGGACAAGGATAGGCCTCAGGTAAAGGCAGCTCTCTCCATTATTTTCCCCTACCAGTACTCTGTTCCTTTTACATCTGGCCATCATACAGCTACGAGGATTTCCATAACCATCTGAAAAATGAGGAGTCTAAAAGTAGACAGACATGAAAATGGTCACCCAATAGATCAATAGCAAAGAAAACACTTGTACTTAAGTCTTCTTTCTTTATGCTCCAGCTATAGGTGTTAGGTAGTAACTAGAAATGAACAGTGAAATGCATGGCATAGTCACAAGCATCCCTTAAATTGCTTTAGTGGATGAGAAAAGAAAGGCTGGCAGTTAATTTGTATAAAACAAACAGGAACAAAGGAGTTAATTGGAAAATACATCAAAAGAAAAGGATGAATGGGAATAACTCTTGACAGGATCTATTGAGATTGATATAAAGCTAGAAATTATAAGTGTCCTCATTTGTCTAGGAAGGAGGATTCTTTTAGTAGCTCAGGTAACTTCTGACCAGCTACTGACCCCAGTGCCTACGCTAACATGGGATTGACTTGTAAATAAAGCCTCCCTAAATGAGATGGCCACCATGACAGTTCCAAAGAGGACCAACTAAGATCAAAAACTCCACCACTCATGTGAAGGAGGAGTGGGATGATTGGTGAAGATTCCTGACCGATTACCCCAGTTCTCCTGGTAAACATCAAACAGTATTAAATTTGGAGAGAGCGCTGTCTCCTTTGTTGTTCTCTGCTTGGAGATGGCCCACTCTCTCCCGAGAGTGCTCTCTGCTTAAGCTAAGCCTCATTTTGCTTTTACTTTACTTTCACTTATAATAAAGAGAACTTTATTATAAGCATGGCTTTTGGGGTCTGACTTTAAATTTTCTTTCGTTGAAACAAGAACCAAGATTTGGAGTTTCAGTTCCCCACTTTCCTGTAATATTGGGAGTAGATGAACTTAAAACTTCTTCTGCAGAGAATATGCTATGTTCACCAAGCAGTCTGTTTCCCAGCCTCCTTTGCATCTAGGTATGGCAAATGACTGAGTTCAATCAATGGAAGAAGAGTGAAAGAGATGC